TAATAGCGTTGAGTAAAGAAGTAGTGAACTTATTAATCAATGGTAATAGAATTTAATTGAATTTAAAAATGATGCAATAATGGATTTTACTACCTTTACGTGATAACAAGAAATTTTAAATTAAGTAAATATAAATGTATAAATCCCGACGAATATGTATTATAAACTACCTATATTCAATAATAAACTTATTTTTTTTGTAAATTAATCTTTCTTATAATAAGGCTAATCGATTTGATTGACTCTCTGTGACACGGGTACCCTCAGGCTGTCCCACGAACATCCAAAGAAGGCAAAAGAGAAACCTCATAAAAATAGGTGGTTTATATAATTTGTACATGATATTTCATATTACCCACAATTTATTACATATCCGAAATTTCTTGAACGAAAAGTTTAGGCATGATAGCCCATGGGTGCACCCACATAGTACAAGATGTCCAAAGGATGTCCAATGGACGTCATTTGGACATCCTGTGCTGTGTGAGCAGGAACGTCCAATCTAGGTAATTCTCGACTTAGCCAGGCCGAACGGGTCTGGGACATCCATAGAACGTCAATTATAGACCTGGTCCGGCTAAGCCTTATTTGGCTTACTTTGGACGTCCAAAATACGCCTAATCAGGCTAAGCCGGACAGGGTCTAGACTTGACGTTCTATGGATGTCCCAGACCCGTTCGGTCTGGCTAAGCCGAGAATTACCTAAATAGGACGTCTGTGGGTTATCTTGTGCTATCTATCTATCTATCTATATATATATATATATATGTGTGTGTATATGTCCTCAGAAAAAGAAGCATGTTCTAAAGTATTTAGTCGGGTAAGCTTAGTTTGTTAGATCATTCACCCATACTTGTAAAAAAAAGGAATAGTTAATTTAACTATATTAATTTAGTTGACTCATATTTGAGGAGGTTCATTCCAAAACTCGGATTATCCATATTAGTTGTTTTTGAGAAAAATGTCAAAAACCTTACACGTGAGTACTAACGCATATCAGGAAAACACAATAATTTAAACGAAATATATAGGCATAAGTAAAACATTTATATACCTTGATTAAAAAAATATAGCTCCATTTTTTAAATTGGTTAAATTAACCCAGAAAACTTTAGTGAAACCAACCCGCTTTATGGTTCAGTTTACTAAATATGTTTTTTGTAAAATAAGAGTTACTTCAACCTTCAGCAGTCTGTTAAAACGATTAAAACAATTTGCCATGCATTTCGGGTTGCATAGTATGTACCGATCGCGGCAAAGGCGGTGTGGATCACGTGTTGTTCTTAAATCTCGCCTCTGTTGACTTACATTAAGAGTATATAAGCTTAGATAGTCCTTTGCTTTGGTGTGGCTCTACAAGTTGTACGATAAGAGACCTTAAATAGGTGGAAACAGATGTCAATACTTGGTGTATTTTAAGTTGGTGGAACGCACTAAAAACATTATCTTTAGCGAGGTGAAGGTTCAATTTTCTGGAATAATACCACTGGTATTATACTAGTATTGCGTTAAGGAATTTCATGATTCTTGAAAAATATAAAAAAATGGCTTAAAAAAATGTTTTAAAATTATATTTAGTCAATTCAACCAAATGTATTTAGTTAAATAATAATAATAATAATAATAATGTTTATTTATGTTACATACAAACAAGTACTTACACAAGTCAAAATAAGAGAATACAAAATTAAAGTAGAAATTACAATACATGTGGGTAAAAACAAAGTATCGGTATAAATTCAATTTTTGCTAATAAAAACTAATTAAAATTAAAATTTAGAAATTCATCCATTGAATAAAACGAATTTTGAATAAGAATTTCTTTTATTTTATTTTTAAAATCTTTGGTCGGAAGACTTCTTAAACTTATCGGAAGATTGTTAAAAAACTTGATTCCCAAAAAATGTGTCCCTGTTTGACATTTTTTTAATCTGTAATATGGCAGTGTTAAATTATTTCTGTGTCTTGTTTGATAGCTATGGGTGTCCGATATTGTAAACAAATAATAGTTGTGCTAACTAAAGCTTTTTTCTGTGTACGGTATAAAAGTACGATTTGTTTATGTACAAACTACGTTCTAAATACTTAGTTAATGTACTATGCTCCACACTTCAAAGTCCCACCACGTGACCAGGTACGGAACGCACTTTTGAAAATTTGTCATTTAAGGCTTTTCAGGTTATGTATCTGTCAAAGTATAGTCAATGAAAGAAATAATATTTATACTGTTACCGTTTATGTTTAAGCGTTAAAAGTTTATAAATCTTTATAGTATCACAGTAACAATGGTTGGTTTAAGAGTTTAGGAGTATATATTATAAATACTGCATTTAATGAAATTCTAAAGTGTATATATAGTGCCAAATAAGTAAAATTTTTGTGCATTTGGTCTGCATAATACCTATAGGTATTATCTTAGAACAAGGGTATTATAGATGTTAATATATTATATCTGGTTTTATCCATAAAATAGTTTTAACTAAACGGCATTTATAAAAAAAATCTAGCTTCTCTATTATGGAATAAGAATATCTGTATCAAAGGTAGGTTAATATATTATAACAAAAAATATCATCTAATTTTAAAATTTTAAGGTTAGAAAAATCTATTTTGATCAAAATAAATAAGTATTTTGTATTATTTGGAAGAGTGTGTTAATATGGTCATATAAATAAAGATATACTAAATAATTGTTGAATAAGGTTCAAATTAAATTAAAGCTTTTATACTCCTAACAACAAAACTTGTGCATACCTCTCGGAATCCCTACTTTAAGTTAGATTATAAGGAAACAAACAATTTTTAGAGATACATGCAATGTAAAAATATTTAATACTCCCATAACATGGGATTTTTGAAATTTTTAAAATGATTTTTCAATGAAGATAAAATTCAGTTGAAGCTTTATACGTAATTGTATTGACAAAACTTTATGTAGGTATACTTTAAGCTGGAAAGACTACTACAAGTAAAAATATTAGATAGAGTATACTGTGGTTTTATTTAAATTTTAGAATTTATAAGGATATTTATACCTAATGATTGTTCGATGTAGATAAAATTTTTAGTGTATTATTATTTAGTGTATCTATATTTATATGACCATATTAACACACTCTTCCAAATAATTCAAAATACTTATTTATTTTGATCAAAATAGATTTTTCTAACCTTAAAATTTCAAAATTAGATGATATTTTTTGTTATAATATATTAACCTACCTTTGATACAGATATTCTTATTCCATAATAGACAAGCTAAATTTTTTTAATAAATGCCGTTTAGTTAAAACTATTTAATGGATAAAACCAGATATATGCATATATATATATCTACATGTAGACCAAATGCACAAACATTTTACTTATTTGGCACTATAGTGTATATATATACTTTAGAATTTCATTAAATTTATTGGTTAACCAACCATTGTTACTGTGATACTATAAAGATTTATAAACTTTTAACGCTTAAACATAAATGGTAACAGTATAAATATTATTTTTTGCATTGACTATACTTTGACAGATACATAACCTGAAAAGCCTTAAATGACAAATTATCAAAAGACTGCGTTCCGTACGTGGTCACGTGGTGGGACTTTGAAGTGTGGAGCATAGTACATACATAAAACGTATTATCGAGTGGAATTTGGACGTACTTAGTACTTATGTACATAAGATATCGCAGTACGTACGTAAAATGTAAGGTACGTCGAAGGTCGACGTACTATGTACGTACATAAAATTTAAACTGGTTGTTTGGGTAAGTATATACTCACTAGGGTGGGCCGAAAATGGACCAAAAAATATTTTTTTGGAAATTTTAATTGGGCTAGTCAGCAAAAGTTGTTTTAGGAAAAGTATGTAGCAACATGCATTTATTTAAAAATTGCTAACTCACCCTAGACCTTCAGAGCTGAAGCTGCTAGGGGCGCGGCTAAATATTATTTTAGGTCAACAAGGTACCTTGTTGACCTAAAATAATATTTAGCCGCGCCCCTAGCACTTAAATTTTTTTAAACAAACTTAAAATTTTAACGCTTTGTGATGCTTTATTATTAAATCTTAAACACAAACAAAAAAACATTATTAATATTATTTTAAGTACTTAATTTTTAACAATTAAACGATTCTTTGAAAAGGAAATAGTATATTTCTCCGCGAGCAAGTAGGAAAGCCGTGTGCATAAACACGTTAACTGCCATGTGTATAAAAAAGTATACACGCGAGTTGGGTCCAGTGCGCCATGTGTATGATTTTGTATACACGCACAATAAAATTATTTCAGCTACGTGTATCTGAATAGAGGATGCTGAACATGGGTTTTATATGTTAGAATGATTGTCGTGGCGTGGATGTACACTGGTATTCACACGAAATTTTTATTAACAATTTTTAAGAAGGCAAACTCTTTATTCAAAAATATATATTGTCAAAAAATGAGGCAAAAATGAATTATTTTTGAAGTCACATGCATAATTAAAATGCCGATCGATGATGAAAATGGAAAAAAGAATTTAATCCATTATTAATGACTTGACAGACATTAAAATATTAGTCAATATTTTTATAAAATGTGTATGTATTCCAATTTATACACGTGGCGCAAATGTACATTTTTGCAATCCTACACCGCGGAGCGCCGCGTGTATGTTATGTTAAGGCTTAGTCGCACGGGGGTAGAAGGGAAAAATAATTAAAAAAAAAATGTGCTATTGTATTATAACACCGGTGGCATATTTTTATTAGGAATTAAATGATAAAAAACATTGTGGCCCAGCTGACCCCACTTGAAACAAACTTACGGCAGTTAACGTGTTCTTTCGAGCGGCGAAAACACTTTTCGGTGAGTTATAACTCACTTATAAGTGTGCTATTTTTTCGACTACCACAACCACATTCATACAACAAAGCTATATTTTTTATACAAACCATGGAGCCTTCACAATGAGTACAAAGACTTATATATAAAATAAATCAAACAATTATTTTACAAAGTTTATTTTATAAAGTTGGCCATAGACTAGCATACATTTTTGTCATACATGCTTGACAGTGCGTTGATTGTTGTGTGATGTACAATCACATTACAATGTACATTTTACATGTTTGCGTTTTTTTGACAACACACTAGCAAACATCAAATCGCAACCATGTTTAACACACATGTATGCTAGTTTATGACCTGTCTAAAAGAAGTACAATTAAATTAACAATAATATTTTTATGTCTAATTTTTTTAACATTGTTTGGCATAACCACATTATTTATATTGCAAAAATTTCCGGAATTACGAAAATTGTTTGAATTTGGGGAATTTGGATTTATTAATCTAACCTTTATTAATTTAAAAAATAACTATTTAAAGGAACGCTAGAGAGTTAAACCCCCTTCAAATAGACTGAAATAACAGTTGATAAATATCTTGTATTTACTACAGCTACTACAATATTTAAGAAATTGCCAAATCAATAATTTAATTAAAAATATTAATACTTATAAAATAATAATACAATCCCAGAAATTTTTCCACCTTTCGTATTATAAACATCCTAAAATAGCAAGTACCTATTGTAAATTCATTTATTCGTATTCCTTCTTTTCTGTAGATTTCACTTTAATTCCCATAAAAGCAGCATGTTCGGCTTCGTCAACTTTGACGGTTGTAAATCGCGGATTTTTAGGAACTGTCTCAGTTAATGAAGTTTTTCTGAAATTTAAATTGGACGTAATTATATTGGTAGTACAAGGCTGCGATAGTTGACTTGTAAAAGCGGGTCTATTCTTTTTTTCTTTGTCAAAATTTGTAGTCGTCACAAAAGCAGTGTTGGTTGCTGTAGAGAGGCTGTCACTGGCCCGCCTGGGAGCATTATTTGAAATATCTAAAAAGCTGTTAGTGGTTGGTAACTTCCCGTGAAAACTTCTGGATACCCTGTTCATTCTGGGCGGTTCTATGAAACTTTCTTTTACCTTAACAGTGCCTGGTGTTTGTTTTAATAGATTAATTTCCGTGTAGTCTTTATCCACCTTTTTTTCTGTCGTAATATTAAGATTTTTAGCAAAGTTTATGTTATCTTTTTTTACATACTTTGAACCTTTACTTTCTAAAAATTTTTCTTTACTAGTATTCCACTTAACCGATTCAACTCCCGAAATATTCTTACTAGAACTCGATAATTCCTTATCGTAAACGCTAGGCTTCGTTAAATCCAATTCGCTTAAAAGGCTTATTGATGTCGGTAACCTTTCATTGTTGAAAACATTAACACACATATTTATGCTAGATCTATTACTTTCATTGGAAATAGTCATTTGATTGTTTGATTCTATTGGATCAAAAATATCATCATCGCCCATAATAAAAGAATGCTCCATATCTTCGGTAACGGTGACATCACAATCTGCTGTACTTCCAGCTGTAGCGTCATTTGTATTAAATTCCACTTCGGAACCTCCTGATATTGGGGTCACCTCGCCGCTCTCCCCTAAACAAAATTGTTATGAATTAGCCTACTCAAAATCTACTACTTGTTTGTTAATTTAAAACAATGTTTTTTTAATCAAAGCTATTAATATCACTGGTCAGCAGCCATTTTGTCACAGGGTGGCCAACAAAAACTATAATTTTGTTTTCGAGATATTGTAAAAAACCGTTTTTTTGATATGCAAACATTCAAATTAGTGTGTGTAATTTTTCTCTAAAAACGTTTTAATAAGTTAAAATAAGAGTTACTTTCTCTTAAAAACTATGAATAAGACTTAATAAAACTTTTAGCAGATAAATGATAGGTTCCTATATATTCAGAGAATTTCTAAAATTTCTCACCGTTTTTATTATTTTTAGTACCTAAGAATTTTACAACACCGACCATGGTATGTACTATTACGGCCGATAAAAAGTAATCGATTCTTTATCAAGTTGCATGTTTTTCTTAAAAATTGGCTATTGTTAGTAGGGTTTTTTACGTCAGTCATGTCAATTAAATTATTTTGACAAGAAATCATAGGTGTATGACATATTTAATTTTTTAATAAAAAAAACTTAAATTATATAAAGCATGTTTATTCGTAATACACACAAAAAGAACAAATTATTTATTGGGCGACCATAATAAATAAATTTAAACTTAAAAAGAAATAGTATACTACGACTATAACATAATTTTATAAAAGATGAGCCAACCAGGGTTGGATGGGCTCAGAAAAACGGGCCCTGGCAATTTTTTCATTCATCCCTCCCCCGGGCATTATCTTACATAATCATACACATTTGTAATGCCATAAAAACTCCATTTAAAAAAAAATAATTAATACTTGGTAGAAAACCACCATTCTTCTCTATAACATTTTGTATTCTCCTAGGCATGGAACTAATTAAATTTTGGATATTTTGCATTCTTCCAAATTGTTCCACTCATTTTGAATTGCATTAATAAGGTCTTCTCTATTTCTTGGTCTAAATTCATATTTATATATTTTTTTACGAGATATCCCCAAATATTTTCGATTGGGTTTAAATCGGGGCTTCTTGACGGCCAAGGAAGCGTTGTAATGTGATTTTCTTCTAGCCAATTATGAACCACATGAGCAGTGTGAACTGGCGAGTTATCCTTAAAATGAAAAAAATATATTTTTTTGATCAGGAAAGATAAATCATAAAGTGTTACGTGTTGAAACACAAAATCATTATCAAATTTTTTTTACACTGACGGGAGCATTACATCGTTTAAAATTTCCACGTATCGGTTACCAGTTAATCGGCCTTCTACAATATGAATTATACCAGCCCCTGAAGATGATATCCACGCCCACACGTGGACAGAAAATCTTCCGCTGTTGTCAGTTTTGTGGAGGTATTCTTCATCAAACTTATGGTTTCTGGGACGATAAACTCGCAGTTGCCCATTGTAGCAGGATTGAAATATTTTTTCATCTGAAAAGACTATTCGCTCCCAATATTCATCGTTTTGATTTAAAAAATTATTTGCAAACTCCACTCTTGCCTCTTTATTAACATCCGTCAAGCGAGGCTTTTTAGCACTCACGCAGTTAAATAAACCTTGTTCTCGCAACCGTTTTCTTGCCGTCCTAACAGATGCTGGGAAGTTGGTTTCCTCTTTGGCTTGAATGGAGTTAGAAAATGGGTTTTGCCTCGCATATTCAACCAACTCGTTGTCGTTTACTGGAGTTGTCTTTCTTGGACGCCCAGAACCCATTACCCTACTCAGGTCACCAGTTTCCACCCACTTTTTGTTTAATTTTTGAATAGCGCTTTTGCTGCAGTTTATTTCATCTGCTATTTGTTGTTGAGACCATCCTTCTCCAATTTTAGCGATAATATAGCCTTTCTCTGCTTCACTTAAAGTATGGTAAGGCATAATTAAATAATGACTTTACTTAATTTAAGATGACGTTACTTAATTTTATAAAATTATTTTTGAAATGCCACTGGTGACAACCATATTTACAACGGGAAAATTAGTCGATAACTTTTTATCGGCCGCAATAGTACAATTGAGCAAAGCACAGAAAGACACGTCTCAGCTGAATGGCATACAACATTGTATCTTAAAGGCACAGTTTTATTTATTAAACGATACATAAAACGTACTTACAATAATTGTAATAATAGACCTATCCCATAAAACAGACTTTTGGATAGCGCGTGCCTGAAGAAGAGTGGTATCTCTTTCTCTTTTATATAATTAAAAAAAGACGACGTGCTTTTCACGCACGCGCTATCCAAAAGTCCGTTTTATGAGATAGGTCTATTATTATAATAACAATTATTAAAAGTATAAAGTGAGCTCACAACCTCGAGGTTAGATAGCTCAGAGCTGTCATTTTTTATAGACTATAGTCCATTCCATTTAAGAAAAAAGCATTGAGTTGAATAGGATTTATTATAGACCAATCACGACCCTTAAAATTGTGGCTTTTTTTACACAGGCGAAAATTTATAACCCATCTCTTTTTAATACGTTGGATGTTGATATAACCTCTCTTTCTCTCTGATATAACGTAGTTCTCATACACTGAATATTTTCTTATACAGCGTTGCCATGGCTTCTAAAAACAAATTTACAAACTGACATAATAATATTATACAATAAACCAGCAAGAGTTTTTATAATATTTAAATTATAAAATTATATTATATTAGCTTTTGTCGGCAATTTGTCAAAAATATTTTAAATATAGAAAGAATTTATCTTTTCAAAAGGTTGGATTTATCGCACATTGGCAACGTCGCATCAGCTGTTATAATACAAAGTGTATATTTTGTTAATTTATTACATCTTCTGTGATTTTTTGGCTTTATTAAATAAAGTTTATTTAACGTATTAACCGTTGTTAATAAATTTTTAATGAAAAACAGGTAAGTCAATTACATTAAAATCGCTTAACATAACCAAAGAAAAATATTTTTATATTTTTGAGAGACAATATTGATAATATGGACAATATAAACAATGTGGACAATGTGGAAAACCAACAATCTGTCCTAAAAAACAAATCTGGCCAATATATAGGACGAGGTCAAAGAATAATACTTTTTAATATGGTAAAAACATATCGATGAAGGAAAATCAAAAAGTGACAGTGTAAGAAACTGGTATTTCAAAAAGTACCATTTGGTTCACCATCAAACAAATGGAACATGACGGAAAGGCTACATTACAGAACATAAGGGCTACATCTCCATTAAAGAAAAGAAAGTGGGCAAGTCAATATGACAAATTAAGTGAGGAACAAAAGAAGCACCCAAGAAAAGTTGTTCATAACTTTTTTATAAATACCTAATAAAATACCAAATTTAAGTAAAATTTATTGAGTAAGTAATTATGTTATTGAAATATGTTTAATAATTGATTCGAAAAATGTTCCCTTAATGTAAATAATAAATAAAATAGGGGCCTCGGTGGCGCAGTGGGTTAGGCGGCTATGCCGAGACAAACTGCGCTCGAAAGGTAGCGGGTTCGATTCCCGGTCACAGCCTTGGGTGTTGTGCGCGTTGAAAGTCGGTAGATGAGTCTAACTCATCGAGGACCGTGGTTCGGATTCCACGTAGGTCCCGCTGAAGAACCGAACCTTATAGGCTTTGCCTGTAAGCTGGATAGGTTGATGGCGTTACTACTCACTCCACTCTAAATAAAATAGAGGGTAGGTATACAAGGTGCTGTCAAATAATAAAAATGAGTTTAGCTTTAAATAAATAAGTTTTTATTATTAAAACATACAACGTGTGTATAAACTAACTGTTTTTCATTTTTTTTAGGCCGAAAAGGATGATAACTTACCACCAATTTCTTGGACAAATTTATGGAGAATTTTAAAAAAACTTGACTTCAAGTATGAAAAAAGGTGTAGGAATCATTTACTGGTTAAAAAAAGTAAAATAGTAATTTGGAGAAGAAAATATATTGATATCAGGAGTTATCGATTACAGGATCAAAAAATATATTACATGGATGAGATTTGGATCAATGCAGGACACAAAGCCCAAGGTGTGTAAATGTATTTGAGTAAAAGTCAACAGAGAATTATCATGAGGATATTAATGGAACTGTTTTTGAGACTTGGATAAAAAATGTTTTACCAAAAATAAAAAAGAACATTGTTGTTGTGATGGATAATGCCCCCTATCATTCTGTTAAAATTTAAAAAAATCCATCAGCAGCATGGAAATTGGGAGGTCATTTTGACGTGATTTGTCTCTGTAAAATTTTGTTTTTTTAATAAAACCTTCATTAATTGCGTTTGTATTTTATTTAAGCCTTACTAAAAAAAAACTAGATTTAATTTTTTAAATAACTTTTTTCAGTTGGGTAAGTAGGGTCTTCATATGTAAGTTGTTCAGAATGAATGTAAAAAAAATCCTTTTTACAAGAGCTATTTTATTTTCTTGATATCGGTTAATTTCTTACACCCAAATTTTATTATATGTTAAAATATAAATCGATGAAAAAATAATAGAATAATTAATTTCATTCGATCAATTTCATTAAATATTCCTTAGCAAATAATGTTAGTAGCAATCGCTTATAACGAACCGTAATAAACCATTTGTTATCTATGATAAACCATTAAAGATGGTTCCCTGTTTGTTATTTTAGAAAAAATAAACAAATTTCATATAGGTAGGTAGGTACATATAGGACATATGTATACTTTATATTAAAAAATGCACTTTTCAAATCCATGGATGTATGCTTACACTCAAAGAAAAAATTAATTTTTTCCGTTCATTTACCATTTAATTTATCTTACATTTTTAATAAAACTCGGTCTACTTATTAATTACTAAATTTTTATATTATAAAATCATAAAAATTTATTAAAACATTAAAATATGTACTATTTTCCACATCAAAAAAATGAACTGACATTTAAATTATTGAGGTTATGTTGCTCAAATTATTGTTTATTTCTTCTTATTTTCTGTAAATAATATAATACATGTCTAAAGGTCTTAATTATTATA